AACAGGCAATGGAAGGGATGATTTCTTAATAAACAAGATCCTGATTTTATGCAATAAGCCTTAATAACATAAAATGGGGGGATGGGAGGCAAAAAGCAATACTTTCCTGGAAATCTAATAGAGTGGTTTTTTGCAAGCATCAAAGTGCTATGCAAAAATATGAAACGAATAAACAAATCAAATTAACAAGCCTAGTAACTGGAGAAATACTGGGCTAAATTCATGCCTTGTGGAACAGCAGCAACACTGATGAAGTACATCAGGGACGGATTTGGCCCACTACGCTTTGAGCATTAATTTGATCAGGAGCAGCTAGTCAACAATGCAAATCCCACGCAGCGAACAACTTCGCTCTACCACCGTTGCGAGCACCAAGCACAACAGTTTGGATTACAAAATGGTAAAAATGCAAAAGCTAAACATTTTTGCAAGTAAAAAAAATATCATTATAGAGTATAAAACAAACAGCAATGTTAGGAACAGAGATGAGATGGAGGCTAGTTGACTTGAGAGAGGCAATTTTTTCAAGTGAATTCAGTAGTCCTATCTACAGACCACAGCCAGGCTGCCCACCAGCCGCGCAGGCTGCCCTGCGCTGCTCCTCGCATCATGCCTCGGGTACCTTCTGAGGCACACATTAAGACGAGAAGACTCAGTGCTGTGCGGTTAATCCCCCAAGAAAGCTGTTGATAAAACGGGATAGGCCTACAGCGGTACGCCGGCTACCTGTGAAGGAACCCTGGGCAAACCAAAGAAAAGCAATTCCTTCCCCTTTTTATGTGCATGTAAAGGAGAGGGCTGTGAATAGCCTTTGCCAGCCCCTCACCTAGCTGTTGCCTGCCCAGTGGCAACGCCGGTGTGGAAGCCCACCATGCTGCACCTTGTACTGTCCAGGAAGGATTCAGAAAACCCATGCTTGTCCAGCCACCTACCTGTCCGATCCTCCCAGCCTGTCTGCTGAGACAGAGAGGCTGGTGAAGGACTCTCCTGATGGTGCATTTTCCTAGTACAGGTATTTATCATCTCAGGATGGAAGACACCAAACATTTTGGACTTGTCAGTCCCTACTACCAGCGTAACTTGGATCCAAGCACGGCCACGTAGAAAGGCCCTTACATTCCACCCCCCCCGCCCCCTTAACTTGAGCCAGCAACTCTTAAAACTCCACTGAGCATTTTTCAAAAGTTTTCTGACAAGGTTTATGTTGGCCATTCAACAGCCTTGGGTACTCATGGCAGAAAGGCAGATAGCACCTTTCTACCATTAAATATATTAAAACTAGTCGTTCTGTCGCCTGCCCAAAGTGCAGTAACGCAGGCGTGATCTGGATTACTACCTGAGATCACTTATGACCATTAGAAAGAGTAACAGAAAACCCAGTACATGATCAGTTGGGGGGGAAAAACCTGTCACTTGTGATAAAAAAGAGAAACAGAAATGGATTTGAAACATTCGTTTCCCTTTATTTGCTCAGTGAGGCTGATGTGTACTGCACATTAAAAAAAAAAAATCACAGGAATTTTCATACAATGAATTAAACCACGAAAGTACATGTAGAATTGGCAGGTGGAAAATAGCCCAGCTTGGGCTTAACTAGTATCTCGCTTTCCCTGTTCAGCATAGTCCAACCAATAGCTTTACATGTTCACCTACTGTGCAAATTTTACAGTAGCTCCATCAGGTCAGTGGTTCACATTATTGAAAATGTCTGTCACATAGGTACAAATTTAGAATCATCACATTATATTACATGGCTATTCTAGGTCATTTATAGATCAGATCTTATACTACAGTGATTGAAGTTCTCATTACAGCCATCAAAAAGGACACATAACCATTACCTACTGTAAGCTTACATCTAAAGGGATGAGAAGGTGGTGTGGTTGTTTTTTTTTTTTTTCAACTGACCCAAGTATTATACCCAGAGGCACAAACTTTCCTCTCAGTGCTGCTTTTGGTGACGGCAGCCCAACTGCTTTTCAGAGTAGTTTAGCACAGGTATTTTTCTTCAATTTTAGGCTCCCTCTGTTTGGATTTGGATCATTTTACGTTCTGTAGGAATTACTTTGTTACAGCTCTAGGAAAGACCATAGTTTCTAAGTACCAGTTCTGTTACCTGTATTGCAGATGTGGTACTTACCACAGCATGAAAGCAACAGTACAATCTTCATCTAAAAGACACACAGAGCTATGCTGCAATTTGCCTCTGGTGACAATGTGGTACATGTGCTAATTTGAAATGTTCTTGGGGGAGAAAAAAAGAAAAGGAAACACCGAGATTATATTTTGATGGGTTACCTACTACAGTGTCTACAAAGGATACAAGTAGCTTTATTCAGCAATCCTAGCTCTATTAATTTCACATGTAATTTGTAAATCCACAGAGGAAAGCCATCTTCAAGATCAGAATGTTTGCCAGGCCAGTGAAAAAAAAAATTGACTCATGTCATTATGCCTGCTTGGTGAAAAATAAATAATCCCCGCCCAAACCCCACACCAATTTATTCATGTCAGCAATCTAGGGCAAAAGAGAATGTATTTAAAATTTAATCACAGAAATTTAAAGGCAAAATAGGTAATGCATCTGGTCCTTGAACACATAATATGATATACTAAATATTGATTTCTTAAAAATAATTTATTGCTTTTAATATTTTTCTTTACAACAGAAGATACTCAAAATCCAGAAAGGAAAATTGTAAACTTTTAGTTTGGCATTCACACAAAGTTAAAATACCTGCATTTTTAACCTACAGAGCAACAACAAGAATTATGCAGATTAAAGAATGTTACAGTCGTAACACAGAACCTCTGAAAAAGTTCTTTTCTTTTTTTTTTATTGCTATCTATCTACTGAGAAATAAGAAGCCAAAAAATCAAGCAAGCATCCGACAGGACAGACAGTGGAATCTCTCAGAACACAATATGCTGGTGATAAAATGAATGCAGCCATTAAAATCAACTGCACTGGCATGGGGGTGGAATCGGTTTTCTAAGATTGGGAGTGGGAAAGGAGATTAAATAGTTAGGTGTGCCATACCTTTAAGAGGAGTCATGAATGCCAAACAGTACTAGAATACCAATCTATACATTCGCAAGCAAATTCCAAACTTTGCTGATTCAGTCTAGAGACTCCGAGTTCAGATGAAATTCTGATGCTCAGAATAGCAGTAGTTTATTCTTGTGGTTTTTTTCTTTCCTGAAGTTTCTATTTAATTTAGCAGAAGCAATGTCATCAGCAACAATGTCATGGGCACATCTGAGGCCATGCTAGTGCATAGTAAAAAAAGAAAAAAAAAGGAACAACCCACTGCTTCTGCAAAAGCTGAATTTCCAAACGAAGCACTTACTCCAAACTGACAACCGTCATGCATCCTAGGTATAAAATTTCCACTGGCCTTTTCATTATTTTAGTCATCTCATAATTTATAATAAATAGGATAATTGTAACTGATAAATATGTCTCTTTACTAAACAAAGGAATGAAGGATTGGTATTTATACAGGATGCATAACTGTAAAAAATATAGATAAATACCATCATTAAACTCTGCCAATGAAAAGATTACTGGCTTCAAGAACAGTGTTTAGACACAGAATTACTGTAAAAATCATACTGTACTTAGTACCTCAGCATATTTTTATCAAATTAAAATCACAAAAATTAAAACAAAATAGCATTTTAAAAAGATTTTTGACCTCTAGTTCCAAAACTACTGTTGATACATAAAATAAAAACATTTCTTAATGATTACCCATTTGAGAGACTTTACATAAAATTATGGTATCTCCTAGAAAAATTTAGATGAGAAAATTTCATTCCCCTAACAAATTCAGTGTATAAAACTGCAAAGAAAATCAAGCAATGAGAAAAATGTGGAAAAATACTGCAGAAGTGGTTAATACCTTTTGGGCTAGGATAATTCTTGACAAAATTCTTATATAAGCTCACCAAAGAAGGGATGAATGTGTGTAAAGCATTTTTGCACTCAGACACACGCGCACACACATACAGACACGCACACCCTCACCCACACGCTTTTCTCTCTTTTTTTTACAATCAAATATATATAAGCATAAGTTCAGCTTTCTACATATGTTAGTGTACAGTAATTGTTTCACCTCATATAATTACATTTGAGTATTCTTGATTAAGAAAAATTCAGCAGTTTTTGAAAAGAAGGCTGCATTTACAGTGCATAGCTGTAACAAAAAAGAACATCGTCATACAGTATGTACATAAATAAAAATACTCCATTTAACATTTGTAAATACTCAACTACTTTAGAGAATGTAGCAAATAAACTATCTGTGCACACACCCAGATAGTTCTATCCCACTCTCATTAATAATGTAACACCACGTCCGCTCATTAGAATAAATCGCTGAACAAGCTGCACATTTGACCATTAACAAGGCTTTGAAAATTTTGCTGTGGAAGATCAACGTTGTAGACATTTACATGGGTGTCAGAATTAAAAGATGAAACTTCAAAATGTTAGGGAAGCTTGAGCCTTTCATTTTCTCTTCTGCAAGGACTAAAAAAACCGCACAAAAAAAAAAAAAAAGAAATGAAAAATCTTAAAACAAAGCTAAAACAGATTGTAGGCTCCTGGGACCTGTGGTTTCTTCTGGATTGTCGTATTATCACTGTGTTGTGAGAAGAAGCTTCATTTAAAAAAAAAAAAAAATGCAATGTCTGATTCCCAGACATCAGCAGCCATTGTTCTCAAATTTGTTTTTTTTGTTTGTTTTTGTTCTTTTTTTGTTAAAATGCAGTATGTACAGATTTTGCAGTTCATCGTTGTACGTGTATCTCTGTGGAACTGCTGCCATGTCTCGTGGTTTGCATCGAACTCGCAAGGAACGCCCGGCTCCCCCGCCACCGACCACCCGCGAAAGCAAAGCTGACACCCATGGACACGCATGTGCTTACTGGACAGCCATCCCGCCTCTCCACTCGTCGAGCAGCTGTGTTCATGTAAACCATGGTTTTGAACAGAGAGTGTAAAGTAGGAGAAATTCCTAAGTATGACTTTTTAATTGTCCATTATTGAAGGACGTGATGTCCGTGAGGTATTCGCCATCCCTCCGTTTTCCGCAGGTGTGATGCATGTTACCTACGCAGGCTCCGCTGTGCCTCTTTAAGTAAACTATCAAAATCCATGGAGTCGTACTTGCTTTTAGTGGAAGCAGGATCAAAATCATCTGAGTTTGAATCTGAAACCCAAAGGATGCAAGTTTAGGTAAGAGGCAAGAACCATTAGCGAGTACTTATATTATTTTCTCTGTACAACGGTATGAACAAGGCACTGCAGAAACAATCTGCTTACAACCACAACTTTATGGGACGACAAAAACCCAGAAACCTCGTCAGAGAAGCTTTAGGTATGGACAGAGCTTTCTGGTAAGAAGCAGGACTTAGCAAAAACGGAACACATCAGCAGCAGTAGGGAAGAACCGTAAATTCCACGTGCATATAGAGCAGGTAAACTCAAAACAGTTTCTCCAAGGACTTGAGCACCGACACACTGCTATGTATAGGTCTTACAGTAGTCCAGAGAATCTTCACAGATGCTTTACCCAAAACTCCACCATGCAATATCCAAGACTTACTTCTCCTGAGAAAGGTAATAGGGGGATGGTTCTGCAGAAAGCCAGGGCAGCCTGCGGGCACCGCGCAGGGAACACTGCTGCTTCTGCCTGCCCTGCCTCAGAGTCTTGTACAAGTCACTACGCTTGCCTGAATCTCTGGTTTTGCTTCCACTCTGGTTTTTTGGGGGTTTGCTTGTTTAGAGTGTGAGCAATTAAGGGCATGGCCTCTGCACCGCCGTTCAAGCAATCTCAGGTGGGCTCCTCAGCTTTTTGCAGAATACGCGGTAAGTCATAGCAGCAGTAATGGTCCAGCTCCTGTGACCTGTGATGCGTCCTCCAGCTTTGCTAGCTGCTCAGACACAGACGTCAGTCTGTTCCTAGCGCAGAGGAGGGATTGTACGTTTATGGCCGTACAGGTCCAGTACGGCCATTATTGACATGGCTGCAAACACTGAATTTTCTTTTGGAGTCATCCCTGCTTAACACTGACTTTCCCCAGTTCCTGTGTCACAGCTCCTTTACGAGAGTGCCCTTTTCTTGCCATTTCTTGTGTTGAATTAATCAGAACTCCCCATCTACCACTATAAGACACACTGTGCATTAAATGTTCATTACAAGTTCTGTTAAGACAATACCTTCTCACAGAGGAGAGGTGTTAAACTTCTGACTACTATTTTCAAGTGTTTTCTTTCTTCTGTACTCAACCCAAGGCTGATTAATTCTCTCTGTCCTTGTACTAGCTCATGAATTTTAAAGTTCATCCTGCCATTTCCTTATGTAGCTCTATCAGATACTCTGCAAAATACAGGGAATGCAGTACAGAAGCTCAAGCTGTCAGCAGGACAAAGTGAAAATACTCTGCTCACAGATACTCTGGGAATCCCACTCAGTATGGAGAGACCTGCCAGGGAATACTCCCAGTGGTGAATAATGTTCAAGAGGGTTCCCTTCAGACAACTTATTTTAAACCCCAGATTTTCTGAGATACAGAGACGACCCTGGCTTCCACTGCTGAAGATAAGTCAAATCAAGTCAAGACTTCAATCTGGTTTTACTGTTTTTATCAGCCTCCATTTCGACAAATGCCTTGCTACCTTTTATATTTTCAACATCAACCCTATATCTCTTCAGCAGTCAATTGCCTTTTCTTAACTTTACATTATCTGTTTAGCCACTGAAGTGAATTATAGTATATTCATTGTGAACAATGCGTATCATCTTTATCATTTATTCTGAAAAGACATCAATTGGTTAGAAAAAATATACCTGTATTCACTTCCTGCACTGTACAAAGCCGAGGGCAGCACATACAAGATTTCATTAGCACTGTGTTACAGGGTTATGGGAGATTTTAATAACTGTGGTCATTTATTCATTAAAAAACACAGTATCTGATTAATATAGATTCAATGGCAAAATGTCTCTTGCTATGTTATTCAGAAAAGAGTATCTCCCATACCTTTAGTCTATTTATACAGGTATTAGGAAAGTTTTAACACTTAATGAATACGATACATTTTAAAAGGTAATTAAATAAGAGGTGAGTTTATAATATATTATAATATTACAGAGGATGTTTTGGTAGTCTGAATGGTCTCTTTATGCATATACTTAACATCAGTATTCCTTCTGTAAGACTTTGAACATTTCCAAACATCCTTGCAAGGGGAAGCATCACACCGTGACCCAGCGTGTAGGACAGAACCATACATTTTTGCCCAGACAGGACTAGGACAGACCCAGATGTGTTATCGCAGCCAGTATGCACACTTGGGACTGGAGTTACCACAGCATACTGGGGTCTGGAGACTGTATGCATACTGCCCCACATCAGCGGGACAGCAAACACCAAGAGATTTGCTAAGCTCTCCACAGGCTGGAGCCTCTTACATCATGACTGGAATTCCGTGCAAGGAGACACCTTCATACATAGATGCTTATGCACGATTTGAGAACCACTAGTTGAGATCCGTGGCCTTTGCTATACTAAGGGTCAGATTTGGTCACAGGCCCTTCTAGCTTTCAAACCTGAGAAACTATGAGTTGTGTTTAAGGAGCGTCTCTGGCAAGTCCTACACATCTAAGCTCAACTCATGGCAAAGTAAGAATCAGAATTAATTTTTGGGGGTGAGGCATCCACTTTGTTCTCTGTTTATCGCTCATATAAATAAATCAGGTATTAGAACCAAGCAGTGATAGCATAGCAATGAATAGTAAAGCATGCAGGAGGTTTCTGTGGTGCTATCGTTTAAATATGGAAATCCATTATTGAATATCGGGCACTTATTTTTGATAATGATGGAAATGGGCTTTAAAAGAATTTTCACAGTCTAAAATATCTCAAAGAAGCCAGCTCAGATTAGAGCTCAGATTAGCAGACTTTTAAATTTCTTGCAGCAAGTGAAAACCACTTCCTTTAAACCCCCCCAATCATTTAAATAATGTACGCAGCAAACACAAAAGAAGCAAACCCTAAATTCTCCCGAGTTACAGTTATGTTATGTTATGTCCAGTTATGTACTTTAATTCACATAGAGCAAAATACCTACCTAGGTCTGCATAGTTAGACTTGCAAAATTGCTTGCGTCCACAGAAGTACAGCTCAAAGTCAGGTTCATTTGACCTGCGTAAAGTGTATCCATTTTCAAGAGCAGCAAAGGCGTCACAAGTATAGCGGTAGGTGATGAAACCATAGCTGTCTCTGCAATTGAAAAACACAGTTGTGAACAAAAGCTGAAAATAGTTAACGCACATTAGTGTAACCCCTTCCTGAAAGCAAGAACTTGCAGGAGATCCAGCAGTGGAAATGCCAGAAGTACTGCATCCATTTATCAGCATGATTGTCCTGTCATGCAGCTAAATACTTATTTCTGGGACAGGAAATCTCAACTAGCAAGATTAATAAATAAGGATGAAAGAAAATAAATAAGGTTTTGAACTCAGCATGTCATCTGTCACAGCACTTACATTGGTAACTCCCATACCAGTAATCTTACTGCCGTAATTTTTTACATATGGCAGCTCCCAAACAAGAAGTAATCTCAAAAGTTCTTACCCATCATCCCGCAAATTTACTGTGCACTCCTCAATTTCACCAAAAACTTCAAACCGGTCCCTCAGTTCTGTTCGGGTTGTGTCAGGTCTGATTTTACCCAGATAAATCACACGACGTTCTTCCTGTTGAGAAACAGCAACAGGGAAGGCATATTTTTAACAAATGTGTAATAGAGATGAACCTATACATATATGCATGCAAATACACACACATGGATGTGCAGAGGATGCATAATTATAGTAACAGTCTCTTGTGGAAGACCTACTGCATCTTGCTAGTTAGTAAGTGAAATAGTTCTCTCCTGGAAAGCATCTAAGGTATTTAAATGACACTACATTTGTCAGGTGGTGTGCTCTTGGAAGGTTTCACTGCTTGCTATCACTGTTCTACTATACACTGAAAGAGAGCTCCCTTTGCATCCTACTGCACCTTCTTCCCTTCCACCCCTTCTACCACTTCCCCTCCAAGACTGTATATTCTTCCGAACCAGGAGCTCCCTTTCTCTTGCCATCTTCTCAATACCAGGCAAAACCCATCTTAGTTGTGGAGTAGTACAAAGTAACACAATAATTGCACAAATGTACCACAGACATAACAAAATGTGTTACAAACATAACATTATACACTCAGATGACTCAATAGATGATTCATCCTGCATTCAGCTGTTCCACCATAATCCATACCTTAAAACAGAGGAAAACTGTTAGGGGTCCAGACGATGACTTTTATTAAAATAAGTATTTCTGGGGGGAAGGCAGGACAATAAAGTATATCCTGTGGTCACCATTACCTTTTGGTTTCTTTGGAGAAAGAACCTGACTGAAGTCCCTGATTTTTACAAGCTAGGGTATCATTTGCATGTTCCTTCCACACTTGGAGCAAAACATCAAAGATACTTTTAAAACAATCAAGTCATGGTCATATCCTTCCTTCCTGAGTGGAAATGCTCAGCAGAAGGGCTGGGAAACCCTGTGAGAGTCACTTTATGAATTTTTGGATGAACGCTTTACTGAGGGTAGAGCCATTTAGTGAGCTCCAAGCAAAGCAAAAGGCAAAACGAGGTCTTCAAAACACTGACCTTAAGGTAATCAGGGCAAAGAAGCACCAGCTACACATGGCTTGGTGCTCAGCCTTCCTGTCTCAGATTGCCTCTGTCCTGAAGAGCCCTGGCACTCCTGGCCCTACTGCTCATCCCTCACATGCCCGCACATTTGTCCAATAAATCGAACCACATTCTCAGCTGGCGTAAATCTGTCACTCAGAGGAGCAATGTCAGTTTAAACCATCAGCTTTTGCACCTGAGACTTGCGCGGAATTTAGGTGCCGAACGCTGAAGGAGCTATACTGACTGCTGAGAATTCATGACTACTGTAACCTGAAGGTGCCTAAAGGCTAATGGCACCTCAACTGTGCGATGCAAAAGGCTCCAGGGATCTAAATATAGACTTGAATTCCTGCTCAGAAACATCCTAGCCTGAAGAGACAGGTAGCTTATAGTGTTACAATTCAGATATAGCACGAAATGTATCTTTTCTATGAGTCCCCACAGAGGCATAAGGCACTAGTCATTCTTGAACCACGGACAATAGGATTGAGATCAGACCAAAACACATGTAGAAACAGAAATGATCCTGATGCCTCTTCTTTATTTGTTTGAGCACTCATTTGGGGTAAAGGGACCATCAGAACTCTTAGCTATGAGGGCCCAAAATCTTGGCACCCTGTTCCCAGGGGAGCACTCTGCTCCCAGGAACTTTTTAATGCAAAATATATAAACAATTCCTGCAGCAAGAAGCTGAAAATAATATATCTGCCTCCCAACAGAAACTCCTTCTCACTAGCACACTCAGTCAACTATTTTTGCTGACTTTTCCTGGCCTCACAAACCTCAGGGGCTCAGATCCAGTTAGTCTAAGCTCCTGAGAAATGAAAGTGAGTTTAAAGCTCCAGAAAACAGAGATCCAAGAATCAAATGCTCCTACCCAAAAGCCCTACCCACTAAGTTATGGCACAAGAAGTGACCACTGGAACCACCTGGGTCCTTTACAGCTCCCTGGTCAGCCCAGCGGAGTCCCTCATTGCTCTACCAAAGTATGTATATGCTCTCCTTCATCAATGGGATCAGGTAAGTATCTCATTTAGATGCTTGAAACTACTGCCTCTTCTGATTATGTAAGGAACCAAGGTGACTGCCTTTGTAGTCCTCTATAACCCTGCTGGGACAGACACTTTCATTTTTGAATGCTATGCTTTCCAAAGTGCGTGGTCCAAAAGCTGCCCTTGTTCTCTGCCATAGCAGTGCAGTTTGGAAAAGCTAGCATGGCTAAAAGAAGGACAAGTGTGCTCATTGGTGGCCATAAATTTAGGAAAGAGGGGTACTTTTCAGACAGCTGCTGCTTTTTCTCTCTCTCTCTGCTGTGTCCCAGTCCAGAGCCCTGACCCTCCTGACAGAGGAGTTTGGGTAGGGCTGCTGCGAACTAGGGACTGTAGAGTGCAAGCAATAGAAATCTGCATTTCTTCCATTTCCCCCATTCTAATTCTGCTTACTTTCAGTATGGTTGGGTGCCATAAACTTCAAAAACAGGAAAATCTGCATATGCACAGTAATTACTTTTTCAGACTGTTTTACCAAATCAAGGATTTAACCGCACTGAAACACTTGATAAGAAACAATTCCATTGATACTTGCTATTGAACCTAAATGACTGACCAGATGGAGCAGAACATAACATAGCAGACTGTCTAATATACTTTAGCTGAGATAATACATCTCAACTGAAAAAACATAATGTTTCACTCACTGACATGGAGATTGTTATATTACAGTGTGATGGAAATAATTCCGTAAGTCTGTGTGCATGCCTGCGCAATCTTTCCTTCTTCTATTCTCTAATAACTTTTATATCTCTAATATGCCTTTAAGACAACTGTAATAAAACAAAACTGAACAATTAAAAAAAAGCCTGTTAAACTATCATTAAGGGAATAAGTTAAACCTGCAAAAATAAGGAAATTCAAATTTAAAGCTGAAATGCACCATATGTCCTCCAGTGTGCACACATGACGAGATGTGTTCAAGTATTTTTTTTTTAAGCAGAGTGCCATGATGGTGTAAGATACTGGAGAACACAGGATTCATACAGCGTTGTCTTTGTCTTGGTTAACTTTGGTTTATTTAAAGCAATTATAAAGAATGTATTTGTATTCACAGAGACACCTCCTTTTATTCCCATTAATAATAAGAGCTATACAAGTCTAACAAGATTACAATATATCTCTAAATGTTAAAGACCTTTATATTATAATACGTTACATGCGTAAGTCCATACGTGCATATTAAGTATGCTTTTTACTGCACTTGTTAGAGGAGATGATGTATGACTTCGAAACCTAGAGAACAGCAGAGAAAAGCTTTTGTTTTCAATTTAATGCGGGCAAAGGGAACCTGCAGGAAACTCCAGAAGATACTGTTCATATTTCCCTCCCAAAAGCGCAGATGATTTATTTTGCATCGTAAGCTTTAAGTGTAGTTCATTGCTTTGCCAGGTAAAAAAAGGAAGAAAGAAGAGTCCAGCCAACTCCCTCAGGCCCAACATGTCTGTCTTCTTTCCATTTATCTAAAGCTCCTTCTTCATAATCTTGCTTTCTTCCTTGCAGTAAAAACATTTGAATAGGCAGATGTGGCAGAAAATCTCAGACTGAAAAGCAGTATTTCAAGTCTCAAATGAAAATACTAAAGCATTAGAACGCCAAAACTTGAGAAAACAGGACCAGGATATACCTTACATATCTACGGGTCAATAAAGGGACCACTCATCCTGCAAAACATTCACTGATGCTAAGGATCTTTTTCTCTAGCAAAGGCTTCCTCCAAAACTTTGTTTCCCCTTCCTCATTCTTAATCTTTTATTTCGCAAGGAACTAAAGCACAGACCATTAGATGTACTAGTTTTTGCATGGTTTTTTGTACTAGGCTTCTTCACCCAACAGTTGTTTGCTTTGCCTGCCCGTGGTGCTGCTAAGCAGCGTCTGTGGGAACTGAAGGCAGCCACCCCAAAGGTAACACCGCATAGTGCTGCTGTCCCCATTTTCCCTACCGCTTTTTGTCTGCACATCCGTGGTGCATATCTAGCTCTCCAAGAGCCAGATAACGCTTTATGTGAAGCTGAGAGAAGAAATCCAGAGGCATTTTAAAGCTGGTGTGTGCCATGGGCTTGTCAAAGGCTCTGCTGCTACCTCCAGCATGGGCGTCTGGCTGGGTGCAAGCCCCGTGCCTGTGTTGCCTTCCATGACAAGTGACTTCTCTCCTCTTCCAGTAGAAAGCCATGAAGACTTTTATCCTTAGAGCTGGAGGCCAAACACCATTTTGAAAGTGCAATGGGAATGGTTGGACAGAGTTTAAAAAATAGAAATGCTATGGATGGAAAAAGCCATTAAAGCTTAGGAGTCTGACGTAATAATATAGATTAGATTCTGTATTAAAGAAGAATAAGTATGACTTGTGGGCAAGTATGAATGGCAAAAGGAAGAATCATGAAAACTGGAAAAAAAAGAAAGAACATTGCACAAAATTGTCAACTGCTGCTGTGTGGCTAACTGAGGACTGAAACAGTTCAGCCACACTCCATGGTGACTGCTAGAAGAATAATGATGGACCAGTAAACCTCAAGATTTAGGTAACCCATTTGATACATTTTCAGCAACTCATACAGCAAAGTTAGAGTGCTGGGATCAAGGCCATCAAGATGAGCAACGACAAAAAAATCCAAACTAAATATACAACGTACATTGGATCCTTCATTAGTGGAAATGCACTCCATTATAGGCTGACTCTGGTTTTAGACTTTAGAGAAGCCAAGCACTCATTTATGAAACCACCCTTCTCCTGCCTTCCTGTTGTAGAGCAATTTATTTTCTTTGAAACCATGTGTTTCTTTCCACTACAGTGGCCTCACAGCGCATTTATCTTCTTACGTCCGTAAGCTCTCTGGGACAGGGACTCTTGATACTTGTCTCATGGAGGCTGTCACCACTTAGAAATGAAAAGTAGTAATGTTAATAGTAATTTTCTACTCAGGTATAAAAGCTGATTTTGTTAGCACCTCCTGGCAGCAGCCAGCGCACGCAGTAAATGAGCTGCAGGGAGGATGTGACCGTAAGTCAGTACCGTGGCCAGAGCAGCAGAGTAGCGGAGATCCAGAACACGAGGCTGCTCATCCGGCAGTTTAACCTCCCAGCCCTGGTGCACCATGTCAATGGGGAACCACGAACTGGTGACTCCAGAATTGAAATGTGCTAACTGTACTTTTGACGCCATGCCTTGGAAAGTATTTGCCGCATGGTCTAATGAGCTGCTGGAGTAAAAAGCCACATAACTCAGAAATTTCCTGGGATGTATCAGAAGAAAAAAGGCCCTCAGTCTTTTTGGCAAATCACTGTGATCTGCCTTGGTTGGGGGTTTGATCCCAGTTTCTACAAAGCCCTAAGTAGACTGTCCTGTCCTGCAGTTGCTCCTCAAGTTTCATGATGAATGTGTCTCCACTATGATCTGGTTAACGTTATAAAGTTAAGTAAGTTTCGGTGGCAGACCATCCTTACGTTCAATGAGGACCCATTCTAAAACAAAATGGGGACCCAGTGAAATAAATCAAGTCAAGATCAAACTAAGCTATGCTAACATTTGTTCAGTTAGCAAAGGCATCACAATCAAAAGTATAAATAAATGAATCAATGAATGATAAAAATATTTTTCTGACTCTCTAACCGGAAAATGTCTTGTGGGCTCAGCCCATATTTTTCAAGCATGACTGCTCAAAATTAAGACCCCAATATACAAAAAAGGCACTGAATCTCCAGTAACTGGAGAGGGGAAAAGAAAAAAAGGAAGAGGAGAAGAATATCACAGTACCTTTTGAAGTCAAGCCACCTGTATATAGCTGTAAGTCTAGACATACAGGGAAATGCGAGCCCTGGCTTCTAACTGATCTGAAGCTACTGCAGTGAAGGTGTTGTGTGCAAGACTGAAGGGGCAGCCATTTAAACACGCCTCCGCCATATAGCATGAGCACAGGCTTCTAAAACAAGCCTCCTCAGCATTCTGCCAATATGCCTTCACGTCTGCCAAAATAGAAGGTGCCTGCACAATCAGAGGGCATTGCTGCACATATGGTTTTGACAGATTAAAATATGTGACATTTTTTCTCATTTCTTTTTCCTAGGTCTCCTGCTCTTGTTGTCACATGGAGACTAATGCTAGACATTGAACCAATAATACCTGATGGCTTTTAGCTCAGTCATAACTTCTGTTCCGTCTCCGCTGTGCATCCTTTCTACAACTAACTCCTGAGATCATAGCACGGTGCTTCTCATGAAGAAAAGCCACCTACCCTGTGTAACACCTGAGACATTAGTACTGCCCAATCTTTGGGCCATTCTTTTAACAGTATCTGGAGGTATGTGGCCATGAATCAGTTCTGGCAGCACGAGAATGGGCTAGAAAGAAAATAAAAAATTCCCCAACGCAGAGAGCAAAGAAATCTAAATTTATGGGACTGTGGAAAGAGTTCAAGGAAAGAGAGAGGAGATTCTTGTGGCTGAACAATAAATGAGTTGAGTTGAATCCCTCAAGAAAGAGAAGAGTAACACAAAAGAGACTCATAAGCCAAAAGGAGTAAGAAAAGGAGCAGAGAATGCTAGAAATAATAAAAGTTTTATCACTGACTTCATGGGATCAGGGCTTCCCTTTCTCTGCTGTCCCCTAACCCCTACTTATTTGCACAAGGAATAAACTGGCATGATTCAATACAGATTTTTAAAGTAAAAGCACTGATAAACTTTGGATAAAGAAGTTAATAGGATTTCATCTACATCTCCTGCAGCTCTTATACAGGTGACTGGATTTTAAGTTTTTGCCATGTTCTGTTTATTGATATTTATTTTTTAGTTCTGACTTATTTATGTTTATTAATAAATAATTTCATTAATGAAGTTAATTATCATGACAATGCTTACTTTAGAAAGAAAATAAATTCAACCTTGGTTTTGAAACGTCTAAAATTTTTAACACAGGAAGTTATGATGCAGCATATCTGGAGCTTTTTAAGTTTCTTTTCTTTCCTTTTTCCCTTTTCTTTTGATTAGCTACTTGCCAAATACTTATTTGTTTTAAACTAAATCAAATTTTCTACCTTTGCAGCAGGATTCATATTTATTTATACCGGTAAGGTACAGTAATTGAGAAGTAGCAAGATACACCCATGACAGACGTCTACTTGAATCTCCAATTTGTGTTAGATCTAAGAGAGAACAGCCAGCATAAGTTACAATTGCTGGAAGGTAGTGTTCATCTCTAAGCAGATGGAAGCCAGATATTTTAAAACTAACTGCAACAATTGACTTAAATATAGCCCTGTCTGAAGCCAAGCAAAATTGTTCCATTGCCTTCACTGAGTTTCAGATCAGCACAGCAGAGCATGTTATAGCTCTAAATCTCATGCTTTACAAAATACACCTATCACCCACACTTTGTAGATAGGGCACCTGAAGCAGGGAAAAGCGAAATGATTTGATGAAGCACACTAAGAACAATAGTAGCAGAGACAAAAATCAGAAAATAAAGGTGTCTATTCTCTCCCAGAACTTCTCGTTGCTGAAGACTACACCAGTCTCTGTCAATCTCTACACACTCCCAGTTGTGTAGGTATAAGTATTAGGAGAAATGCTGCCGAGGGTGTGACAAATCACCTTTTACTACAAAGTCCACTAAAGGCACTGGAAAAAAGACCTATTTATTTTGGTGAGCCCTGGACAGAGCACTAAGGGAAAATCTGGAAACAAAGATGAAGTGTCCCAGTCTGTACCACTTCATGCAAGACCCAGAGCACAGCCAGAACAGCAGTGAAGGTACAACTGAACGGAAAGAGCAGGACACAGAAAACCAAGTGGAAAATGTTAAGGTGAGCCACCAAATGGGCTTAACAACTACAAGAGGAGTCCCGATTTACAGCAGCTCCCAATTTATCAAAACCATCATGCAGTTGCCAATGGGGAACTAAAAAGGGGCAAAAGCCACCTGTCCGTTTAATAGGCATTCTTCTGTCCTACTGCTACAACAGCCAAGGGAGTTGCTCATCCCCACATGGGTATTTCCTTTGCCTCAGGTATTTCAGTTGTTTCACACAGAACATTGATGAACAAAATAATTAAATAATACATATTCATTATGAAAGGGCCAGTGTTAAGTGACATTTTTAAATTGCACCATGTCTTCAGACTATTTATTTTGCTAAAAATAACTTAAAAATTAACCGAGTCATAGACAGGAAAAAAAAAAATTAAACTCATGCCTTTGGATCCCAGTTTTGAATTCTGTTATCTGCACACTCTGTATAGACAATTACAGCTACTATGAAAGTTCAGCGATCAGTATGTAAGCTGACTCCTTATATTGCTTATGTAAAAAACCAGAAATATAGAAAATAGACATTGATTACTGGCACTCTGGTAGGTGATATATAGTATAAAATGCAGGTTCACTGATAGATCTATATAAGAAATAGACTGGTTCGCTTTTAACTGTCTGTTGTCTGGGATGAAACCTTTTTCTAGTAAGCCCTTTATATCTGTTGACTGTGAAAACCTTGGAGAGTTGCAATTTATAGAACCTGAAAAAATTAGTATTGTAACATCAAAACACAAATTGTTATGAAAACACATATTTGCATGAAATTCGAAATACTAAGACATACATGTAAGCAGATTTTTGTATCTTGTTTTTTCTGTTATAAAAAAGAAAGAAAATAAAGTCTGAGTTCTAGCTTTAGAAATCTATGAAAAGAAACAGAAATCTATTTCAAAATGAAAGTTATCTTCACAGTGCTTACAATTGCTTTCTGCCTCTGTCTCTCCCTTTGTTTGGCCCTTTCAGATTCCCGTTTTTCATACTCTTTGCGGTATTCTTCCCTCTTCAGCCTTTCATGCTGATATTCCTCATAGCTGTCATATCTAGGAAACATAACTTAGTCATTAAATCAAGCACCTGCATTTGTGAATGTAAAGTTAGTAATACAATTTCTGTAATGCTTCATTATCTTTTGAGAACGAGCTGCAAAGCAAACCAGATGCTGGCAAAATGCACTACCTGGGTCTGCGACTGTACGGTGATCTGGATCGCGATCTTGCACGTAAGGGAGAACTTCTGTATGCTCGGTGTCTACAGTGGCTGGACTCATAATAGCAACAAGATCTGCAGAAGAAACACATTCACCCCTGTCATTCAGTTTGAATCTATGGACGCCATCTTCTACCTCTTTGACGAACTTACAATTTCTTCTAAGCTACCACAGTGAGATTTTCCAGTGACAGTTTGCGATCTCCTACTCAACTAAGGGGCCTCAAGCGATTTCCCCCCCTGCCCTTCTGTAATGTTCCTTATTGAGGCTAACACAGAGCAGAGAGTCAGCCACTGTCAACTTCATCTGATAGGGACTGCAGCTAGATTGGCACCGGGCAGCTCGCAGATAATGGGAAAGGTTAGTTGTGTACATCTCTCACCAATTGCTCTGCCGCTGACCTGACTGGCTCCACTCAGAAAGCGTAAACTTGGCAAATTTAAAGGATAACGGCAACAAGTGTTTCTGTAGCAACCCCGTAACCTTCAGAGTTAATCAGCTCAGGAGCGATAGAACGAGTTACACTGGATTAAGTTATTTCATGTTTTTTCTTTCTTTCCTTTAAGTTGCTTTATGTTTTTGCTGGTTTCCTTCTTATTAACTATGATGATGACACATAAATTTGCTGTACCGTACCTTGAAGAGGATCTACTACAGGGCGACCTTGATCTCGATCGGGAATATGGAGAACGGGAACAAGACCTGCGTTGAGGAAAGGACCTTGATCTAGAGCGTGTCCTTTGGGATCTTTGAGAAAATAAGGATTTGGGTGGAGACACTGAATCTCTGCATGGAGAGTTAAAAGAAGAGCAAGAAGGCGATACATCAAATAATGAATAGGCTTGTGTCCCATCCCAAGGGTAGCATAGTTTATCACTTTCATCTTCACTGTCATCAAAGAGACCATCCATTGCTAGTCCTGAATTTATAAACATAGGTAGTTTGGAGAATTGTTCGTTACTGTAATCACTGTCCCTTAGTTCTCTGGTCTTATCTGCTTCTTCATCAAAAACAGCTTGGCTGGGGTGACCAAAATGCTTATTCAGTTCAGCCCGAATTTCCTGGTCTTGGAGCTGTTTTCTGTTATTACCATGGGATCCCTGCTTACTTGTCTGTAAAGTCTCTTTCTTGAAATACTGGTCTTGTTCTAAAGAAGAACAAATCTGACACTGCCACCCAGGTGAAGAATCCTTAAATTCTAGTTTTCTGGAGTCCTGAAGTTCCTGGGATATTTTAATGTGTATTTCCGATTTTGAATTCACAGATTGACAGTAGTCATGGTCACCAAACAGCCGCAAACTGGGCCGTTTTGTCTTTCTCTCCTCATGTCCACTGGACAGTACTGTAGTCTTGCTAAGCTGTGCATACAGCTCAGACTGTTCTGGACCCTTCTTGATTGGGTTATTTCCTTGAGAACCGGAAGACTCACTATAGCGGGGCTTTTTTGAAGGTGGTACAACAGTCTTGCATGATGACTTCGGCTTAGGTGAAGTCCTAAAAGGATTATCCTGGTTGGCTTTATGAGGAGGGGTCGTAGGTGGAGTTAGGCCTAAGGGGAAAAAAAGGAGGAACAGAATACTTTTTAGCACACATACAATGTTTATAAAGGCAGCTTGAGTGCTTCTTTAAAACAGATACAAAGCAAGACCCATTCTGTGTCACTTTAATTTAACACTACTAATACTGGGAATAAGAGTGTTTAGGGTATGAGACACCAAAGGTCTAGTGACAACAATAGCAACAGTACTAATGCATTGCCATTAATCTTCAGCATCATTTCTGCCCCTTCCCTTCCTCCATGACATCCGCCTCTCTCTCTGCAGATTTTGATAGAAAAGATCAAGAGATAAAAACCAAAAGACTTTTTTGTTAAAAATCAAAAAGATTTTGATATAAAAATCAAAAGTCAAAAGACTGGCACTGTCAAAAACCTAAAGAAATTAGCAGACAAAAACCTGAATAAAAGCAAGCCCGAGAAAAATAAATGAGTGCTACCAAAGGAACCTCGGTGGGACACAGAACTTGAATGCAAGGAAGTACAGCAACTCTACAACTCGACTGCAATGACTCTTTGTCTCCACAGTTCATTAACTTAGTAAACCATTGCTAATGTATGTATAATACATTCATGTAAGCCTAACTAACACATTTTACCTGAAATGTGGTTCTGCAACTGAAACCCAAGTGAACAATAGGACAACTGCAACTGTAATGAACCACTGCATTTAGAACTAAATATTAGTGAGAGTCATGAAGTAAGGAGTCGAAACAGGTAAGTATTCAAAGACTAAAGATACCACTAACTACCAGGATTGTTCACATAACTGTAATAGATTATATCACTATGGTGAGACAAAATTGCAGGAAGGACTACAGCCCATTCCAGTAAAACCAGGGAACCGAAGTAGCATCTTCCAATTATTTTTATAAGAGTAAAATATAACTCTCAATATTTTCTATAGAAATCATAGAATTTCTTCAGACTGTACAAAAGGATAACCCAGGACACCAGGGCAGAGTAATAGCAAACTGCAGCCACTCTTCAGGAAATAATTACTCTTCAGGAAGGTACTTAGTATGTTATGTTTGAAAAATTTGCTTCCATCCAATTGACCCTAATGTAATTCAGAAGTATATGTGCTTAAAATTAAACGAATTAGACCGAGATTAGGGAGTTCTCCTAGATAACCCAGATCATCCTTAAGCACTCCAGAGGCTGATGCTGCCCAAGATTTCTTCTTCTAGCCCAAGCAATGAGCTTTCCGTTACTTCCTTAGCAAGAATGAAAAGAGAGGGCAGACACACTTACAGGAAATGTGTATTTCAAACATGGCGATAGAGTCTTGTTTTGTATTTTTAACCACGCAACAGAGCTCAGCAGATCAATGCAAACAGAACACGTTTTGTAGTGTTTTGCTGTAAAGAAGGAGAAGTGTCCATCAATGCATAGTGCTCCCTAAGGAGCATAAATGGAGACTGGGAGTCCCATTGCATTAGCTGCAATGAATTTGTTCCAGAAAAAAAGAAGATAGGAGTACCAAGGCATGAATACTTGATGTGAGAGAGAAGCTTGATTTTGCCTGAACGTTTGGAAAAAATGTTTATGAGCCACCCGTGGCTATGTGAAGACTTTGCCTAATGCCACAGAAGTCAGGGAAACTGAGGCAAGGATAATGACACCTAAAACTCTAGTTACCTCAAATTTGAATTTAATAGTGAAAAAGTTTTGTGCAAAGCCATCACTGTTAAACTACTTGCTTTAATTTGAGTCCTCAATTTTTTCTTCCTTCCTGAAAATTCACTTGAGTCAGCAGTATGTATTTCACACCTCATCCACCTCCTCACTAACAAATATTTTTGACTACCAAATGATTTTTTGGTAAAATGAAGAGAACAGTCCTCTTCAAAATTCTGCAGTAATAATTTCTGGTTTAAAACTTCAGGCTCAGATTCAACAAAGATTTGAGTAAGCAAAGACTGTTTTCTAGATAAAGAATTTAGAACTGTCACTTTTACTCATGAAATTATACAGCCCATGAGAAGCTCTGGGGTTAGTTACTGATTTTTTGGATGTAGTTTTGAAGAAAGAATGAAGCAGAAATACAACCACTCCACAATGATCATGCATATTTAAGAATTTCAGGCAAAGAAACCCCAGAGATAATCCAATATTCAAAGTAAAATATTGTTTCCATTTCCACTTCTTTAAAGCTAGCCCTGGCAGGAAGCAAGCTAAACACCGAGCACAACGATTTCCAGAAGCCTGACAAGGAGTCCAACAATCTTTAGAGGAGGGGAAAAAAAAAACCCTAGCAAAAAAAACCCTTGCAAAAGTACAGACTAAGCTAAATTTACTGGCACTTCTCTTGCTGGCAGAACTGTGCTGGGGACAGCCTAAGAAAGGGCTTCCTCGTGGCATTTTGGCTTTTTTCCTGGTTTTCAGCAGAAGCAGGAAGTGCACAGGCAAGTAGAAACAGATAGAAGTTGGAAAATGTTCTTTTAACTTTTGAACAAACCTCCATCAGGGCATGGAGGAGGGAATGAAGTTTTGAATTCATGTCACTGCTATGGAGTCCACCTTCGGCGTGTCTCATGACCAATCTCCAAACTGTGAACTTTGAGAAAACCAGCTGGCTGCACACTTGCTCATCTTCACACTAATCCCTGGTAATCTTCACCGAGGGCCATGATCCCACATCAACGGCGTTACAATATTCTATAACCGTTGGAATATTTCATATGTGCCGATTTCTCCACCAGTGTGTACATTTTAGCGTTGACAGTACAAGGTATATTCTGTGCTCTCTCTTGAACTTAGCAGGTTTTGACAGATTTATGGAAGGACAGATGGCCATTACGGGCTGAAAGCTGACAAGAGGCAGTTCAGAGCATTGTTAACACACTTGCACAAACTCTCAGCAGTGCAGCGCTGTGCAGAATGTAATTCAGACTATAGCTTTTTTATTGCTGCCTATTTTCTTTTGTCAAAAGAGCCTGCTGTGCACAGCAACAAATGGCTGCCATTACCCAGAATGTAATGGGTGTCAGACAAATCACGTAACACAAACAATCAAGAGTATGTAGGTCATATTTCAACAGAGCACAACCTTAGCAATATTTATGATTACTGCATTGAAATGTGCTCTATAATAAACAAGTACCTCTACATCACTCACACTTATGTACTTCTGCACAGCAAATCTGTTAGAAGTGGTACATACTCTACAATCAACCCCCTTAAACAGTCTTTTTCTTTTTAAAGTAAAAGGCAAGTATTTTTTCATGACATGCTATAAAACCATTTTCTTTGTAGGGACTTTTCTTTAATTGAATGGCTTCAGTAAATGGTACGTTTGCACTTTGCCTTGCTCTGTCTATATACTATGAACTCACTCGGTGATCTTGTGCTTGAAAATAGCGTACATCGATTTGCCAGCGTTGCTGCTGAAGCAGCACCGACTTCCCCGTGTCTGTGCAACAAAAGGTGTCTGCATGTGTGCCGACTCTGCCACCTTGCCCGAGTGACTTCTTTCAAGAAAGTCTCTGGGAGAATGAAACTACTTTTGATACATTCCAAAACTCCACTAAAAAAAACCCTTAGTAACTCATTTAGCTCAGCTAGGTTGATAAGCAGAAATTAGGGGAGTGCCTTTGCATAAAATGTGACATCTTGAGATTTTAGGACTGATTTGCAATGCTGTTTTACACAGACACCGATCTTTCTAAAACTCTACTGTAACTGTTAGCATTTAAATGTTTGATGATGTTTGTTGTGCTTTGAGGGGGCTGAGAATTAGTGTCTTTTGGGGAACACAGCCCTGGAACCTTTTTACATGTGCACTGGGCTTTTGAAAGGCATTGAAAATGAATTCTTTTATACCTTTTAAGTTTTAAAATGGATTGTCAAGGGAAACATTATTTAAGGCCACTTAAAACACTGAACACAAGGTAACAGCTCATTCAGTAAAAGAGTCAGAAGAGCTTTTGTGTGGCACAAGATTGCAGAAGCCAGGAAAATATAACAAAATTAAATAGCCATCATATAATAAAAAACTGCACGCTTGTTGAGTATTCAGTTTAATCCTGTTGTCAGTGCTGCAGAGAATAAACACAGACGCCTGAAAATATCAAATAATTTACTAGATTCTATTCCCTCTGGACAACTCTCTGAATCTAACACCTCATTTTATGAGAAATCATTCTGAGGTCAAACATGTTCTTATATGACAGATTTTAAGTATTTGTTCTGACAACTAAGAGGTAACACAGATCTAGAGGTGGGCAAATAGCAGGGTATAAGTATCCTCAAGGATGCTCATGAATTCCAAATGACTATTCAAGCTGATTGTGTTCATAAAGCTTTTCTGTCATCTTTTTGGAGAAATCAAATTTTGCACCCAAGAAAGACGGGTGAGGAGTTTTATGCTTAGGTAAATTACAGGGATCTGTGTGCAAATGAGAGACTTTTCACCAAGTCACCTGTTGTAGATAAGAGGGTGGAAATAGCCTTCCAGTTACTGATTGAGCCTTAAGTGTGTAAACTCACTTACATAATAGCTTTGAGTATTTAGGAGTGTAGGTTTAAAAAGACACTGAGAGAACAGAGAGCGCTGAATTTCAAACACGCCACACCATCTAACTTCTGGCATTTAGAAGTTCAGCAGAAAGTCTAAGACAATCATTGAGGAGCCCTCTATCACCAAGAGAAACACAGCCACCTCCAGAGGGCGAGTCATCCTCCTAGTCCCTGTGCCTGCAGGTGCCCCCTCAACCTGACTGGTAACAAAGAGGAAAGAGGTCTTGCAGTGACACAGAAACGTCCCATGTTCCTGGAAGACATTACAGAGGTTCAAGCCCACGGCCTTTTAGCAAAGGGTTGGCAATGCAGCTAGCTGTGGAAACAAAGGGAGAAGGACCTCTTGCGAGCCTCTTACTCAGAATGAGACTCACCTTACACAGAAATTTCATCCACTACATTATCATCACCTAGGACTCCCTCCATATCATGATGTTCTCGTCCATTTTCCTTAGAATAGCACTAGAAATCAGCTGCAGGAGTTGGAATTTTAGATAGCAATGGGCTTATTCCTCTATCATAGGCCATTTATTTAAAGCGCATTCAAGGAATTCTTATGTGTGGCTTGAAAACACTTTAAAAAAATATTTGTTCCTTGTAATTTGACAAATCAATGTTTTGACAGTTTTAGGGAGGACAAAGTTACATTCACGACTACTAACAAATCCGTTGTAAAGCAAGATACAGCATCGGCAAGAGAACGGTTTCAGTTTGCCTTTAGATACATGAATCCAAAATGTGCGTGTGACGAAGATTGATGGCTCATGTGGGAAATGCTTTTATTTATTTATTTTTCTACTCTATAGTTAATTCATCAGTGAGGGAACCAATGTTGTTTTCAGCAGAGAGATCAAGAGAGCTGCTATTTATATTAAAATACTTTGTGCTTCGATAGTGCGAGCAGCACTGCTAATGGTCTTTTCAATTCGGCAGTGAGATCAAGGCAACTCCTATTTAAATTATAATAAATAGTGCTTGTACAGTGCAAGCTGCCCTATATAAGGACAATGAGCAATGCGGTTATCTGGATATAATTTGGAGTTGCCAGGGTCTCACTTAAGAACTCCAAGGTATTATTAATCACTACTGCCACTATTTTTTTCCTTCTTTTTTTTTTTTTTTTTTGAAAACTGAAGTGGGTCCCAATTCTGCCACGATTTACTCACATACGCTGTAAGTTCTTCAGTACTCAAGGTTGTTTCTGTTATGCACTTGTCTGCTTCCAGCACAAGCAGACTCATGACACAAGACACTACTGCAATATAAATGAGTTAAAAAGACATGCACAACCACTCATCTTTTTATAGATTTATATACATAAACAAATATAAAAATAAAATCTACATGTATGTGAAGGCAGAGATTAATACAGCTACCAAGTGATGAAATACAATCTCCTGAAACCTCCTCACAGGCGTTGTGAAGACCAGAGCAAGTGCAACATGAAGTCCAAGAGCCACCATCATGTACGCTGCTTGGTAACACTGCCTCAACTCCCTGGACACACACGCTCCACCAACTCTTACTCTTCCTGATTATCATCAGTTTATTTTCTAGCTAGACTCTATTTACTTCCAGAGGAAAAGAAAATCATGTTTTCATAGTACAACATTCCTGTTCACCTATTTGTCCAGTTGTGCTGTTTCACAGCTTCTGACGCATTTTTTAATACTCTAGTTCTCCTGGTTATATTGTCTAAGACAACTACAGAGCTGTTTTGTTTCCTCCTCTGTGCACAGCTGATGGAACGCAATGAATTTGGTAATACCAAGACCATTCCCATTGCCATTATGGAGGTGATATTAGAGGACTATCCATGGGTCAGACCGACTCCCAATTTCTGTCTAGTCAGCTGATGGGACGAGCAGGCTGCTGCCTTTCTGGCTGGGAGAAAACACTGCTCCCTTCAGTGATTTCAACTTGTATCACTGCTTGTACCACTCTGCTGTAGTCACCTCATCTGCCCCTTTCAGTTGGCAGCACTAAGCACTGACTTACCAGTGTGCTTACAAATGGGCACCCTCGTGCAGATTTGCTCTCCAATAATGATAAAAAAGGCTTCTCCATGCTTCAGGCCTACTGGCCCTGAACAGGATTATCCTGCTGCATACAGTGAATTTGCTATGTTTGTGTTGGGTTTGCAAAAAGAAGGTGCATTGGAAGGATGCTTCCTTTTGTCATGGGAGGAATGATTAAGACTGCAGGTTTTCAGGTCACAGCAGAGGAAAGTGTGCATGTTGAATGCTGAACTAATGAAGAAGTTTCTGAAAAAGTGAAATGATGGTTGTAGGGAGGTGAAAGCCCAAAGGACATACACAAATCTAGTGCTTGGGCCTGCTCTTGTGTAAAGCTGCCACTGAATTTAGGGGCACCAAGCTGATTTATGGTACCTGAAGACATATTTTGCAATGCCCCCCAAAATGCTAGAGATCACATAATTTACAATCCACTGTTACCCTGAAAGAAGCACATGCCAAGTACATCTCTTATTTTTCAGTATTACACAACTGAGAAAGAAAACTGTCTTGGCAATAGCTCAGGTGAAGCTCAGCGTGTGCTCTTGTGCTCAGTTCTGGACACTTCAGAAAATGGAGGCAAAAGAGAGTTCAGAGGAAAGCAATAAAACAGATCTGACTCTGAAAGAGTTGACTTTAGCGGAAAAAAGAGCAGATGAATTAAATGAGTGCAATGGGTGGTGCATGAACTAAACCAGCACATGATAAAAAATCTACAAATCTTCAAAAGGTACAAACACCAGGGATCTGAAAGGAGGAGGAGGATAAAGGGAGGTTGTGTGAAGTGTGCTAACAGAAGAAATAAAGAGAAGGGAAGAATATAAAATGAATACCAATTTTAAAAATTACCTCTAAGCTATGGAATAGTTTTTCAGTGGCAGAGGAGAAAGCTGTTATTTGTGATATATTAATCCAGAATTGACAAAACACTGAAACATGCAGTCACGTACAGCCCTAGACCAGCCTGGAGACAGACTGGATGACATAACTTTTCCATCTGTAACATCTATTACACTGTGCTGTGGGGTTTGTCTTTGAAAGATGGTGCTTAGCAGTACACAAATCTATGGGGAAATGGGGAAGTATAACAGATAAATGGTTTCATTCATATTTTCCCAGAAATTATGCTCTCTTGTGTAGGTTTGGAGCCATACTTTCAAACATGTTCCTTCTCGGGTAATTGGACAAAAAGTCAATGCTAAACTGCACTGCAGTTCCTCTGCTGGAGACCTCTGTGAGATCTTGGTGTACATGTGGTATGTTAAAATGAACAAACACACACACGAGCCATGTTTAAAGGAAGAGCCAGCACTCCCCATTTCTCACCTGCAGTTCCAGAGAGTTCCACACTTAAGGTTTGTTCAATAGTCTTGTTCTCAAATGGGGAACCCTTGGGATCACTGGAAGACAGGGCACATTTATAAAAACAAGCTGAAATGGAGTTGCTGTAGCCAAAATCTATTGAACCCCCCTCCCTTTTATAAATGTTTGCACTTTTTAGTACTTACTTTGGTGACTCGGGCGTCAATGGAAGTGATAAACTTGTTGGTTTGGCTAACGGGAAAAAGAAAACAATTATAGAATATTAAATATTTAATATTTAAACTCCATAACGTATACTAAAAAGATTTCTTTTTATTTTGGTGCTGGAATCCCATGTTAGTCAGCTAGGGCTGAGTTCTGATAGTTCAATAGCCATTTCAGTGTATCTTAGGTAGATAAATAAGGAGACTCATCCTGATTCCTTATTACTGGTACCAAAAGGGCACCTAAATTTCAACAATGATTTACATCAATTACTGTAACTCTGAAATACAGTACACAACCCAAATGCCAAGAACCTTTCAGAAGAAGAATGGTACATGTTAAAAATCAATGAAGAACTCTACAGGATACACTATGAAAATGTTATTTCTCTTAGAGTTAATTTAGACTACAGTTCACGTTTTATTTGGAAACAGGAGCAGCAGAATAACTACGAAGTAACAGAACGTTATGAATATTCAGTTAATTTTACTTCTACAATATACAATTTTATATATAGCACTGAGAATAGGTTGTTTCTATGAGGCCAGAGTCCAACCAGTTATAGTCCAAATTTCTGCAAATTATCCTGCAAACTATGACAAGCCATGGTCATAGTCACAGATGGTTAAAAATGGGGTTGAAGCTCTCAGCACTACAATCCCAACATACACAAAAACCAAAGCTCTAGTTATAAAAACACAAGCCTTAGTAGCTTTTATTCATGCAAACTTGTATTTTCCCAAAGCAAGCCAAGAACTAGGATATTGTAATACAACTAAGATTCCTTTAGTTGCCAGTAAAATGTTTAAAAATTAAAAACAATATTACTTGCAAATTTTACTTTTCAGAAGTTAGATTGATGTTTAAACGCAGAGAGCATTGTACCAAGAACAACAGCAGGGGATCTCTTCTGCAAATTAATTACTTAAGACAAAATGTTCCCCTTGAACACTCCTGCACTGCAGATCTTTTGTCCAGAGTGTCACTACTGCATATTTCATATTCATTCCAAGCTTGGAGCTCCCATCAACATTAAAGGCTTTTATATGCAAATTGATTACTTTTATAAGCTCTAGAGCATTCCTGAAGTAATATTACTTTTTTTTTTTTAAATTAACTCAATTCTCAAGAGCTGCATATTGTTTCTCCTCCTCCTCATATGAAAGTTAGAAATGGAAGCTCAGGTGCTCACCTCAGGTTCACCTTCCTCAGAAATCACTGCCGGAATGAGGAGATGCACCTCAACGAGTTATTTGTCTGATCTAGCACTGCCGCTGATTTGTGCGTAAAACCAGGTGCGGTAAGACTGAATGTAACCTGACACATCTTCGTGTGTATTTTATATATATCTAGGGATAGCCAGTGGCTACCTAGAAGTAAAACTGGCTTAAAAAACCCAGACCTTAGAATAAGGCTCTGGAATAAAGTTTCATACAAAGGCTTCCACTTTTTTTTAGAGGATAAAAATCTACATAATCTTACCCAATTTAGGCTTTCTAAGGAAGTTGAATGTGTAAGAGCTATTTAAGCCTCTAAAAAGTCTCATTCTAGCTCTCATTATTCCCACAGAATAGTCCCACATCAGAATATATATATAAAATTCTGAAGCTCTGAGGCACAGTGCAAATCTGCCAGAGATGGGCACAGAACCAAAGCGTTATCTCACACTCATATGTATTCATTTTAGGCAGATATCACTGGGCTCTCCCACTGAGAAATCCGCATACCAAAACACACATCAGTTTTCTTATTGCTAGGCAAGGGCTTGACCAAACAGTATTCCTGCAAAGGATTCGTCCTCACATACAGCTATTGATAGTGTAAATATTTAGCCAAGACACTATCATTTTCCATGGTGCCTGTTTATTAGAGTTTCAAGGTCTACTGTGGTGTGTTTTTTTCTTATTAAAAAGGGTTCACATGAAGTTGCTTGTCCCTGTAAATTGAAAACATTCAGGTTCAAAAGAACTAAGTTTCCTCATGGGCAAATTTCAATGCAAAACCACAGATGATCTTTGGCATGAATGGGTTTGTGGACGTTCCCGTGGGTTTGCAATATGTTTGCAACAATAACCCTAAAGGAAAATACCGTTTGACTTATCCTTTGTAAGCTTTCCCTAACTTTGTAAGAAAATATCAGACCCTGATTATTTTTTGAAACAGAAGGAGCCAATTTTCTTGTACTTTTGATTAAATGTATGAACAAATGACTGCAGGTCTGCAAATATCAGTTAAATTTGCAAGGTTGATTCCGCATGAATTGACTGTCCAAGCTGAAAGGATTATATTCTTGTATTTGTATTATATGCAAATCCATTGATATTGAAGTCATATATTGGTGAATGAAGCAAATTTGATGAAAAAACAACATTTCAGAAGCCTGTAAATTAAACTGCAGGAATTAAGAAGAGAGTAATTTCTCTCTGCCTGCAATTTCACCTGCAACACCACCAAAGTCACAGTCCTCTGTTAAACACTGGTGAGTTAGCTACATGTCCCTTTGGACTGTCCTAACCTCTCCTCCTGCACTGTTTCCACAACCCAAAGTGCCCTGCTTCTTTGCACTGAACCTACACAATTGCCTCAGCTGGGGAAAAAATGCAGGTCTGATCTAAATAGGAAGATTTTATAATCCATATTTATGTGTGTGTGCGCATACACCTATGTATGTGTATAATATACATGTGAATATAGCATGTTACTCATGATATACCTTCTCACATATCACCTTAACACCCAACAGTGTTAATAAAGCCCCCTGTAACTTCTGGCAGGTCTGTGTTTCAGTACCATTGCAGTAAGAGACCCAGGGTTTACACCTACAGTTCAGTCTGCATTTTGCTGTGAAGCAGACTGCTGAAGCCACCCAGAAGAAATGGCAGTTGGCATCCAAGAAGCTCTAGGGGCAGTTGGATTTCTTTCTTACAAGAAACGTTGTTCAGAGAATTTGAGACCATAATGGGGAAAACTATACTTAGGATGTCAGAATGTACAGCTGCGAGAAGGGTATTTAGTGGTGGGAAGGGAAGATTATTTTTATTACGTTTGCTTATACTTCCTAGTGAAGAGTGAAAAATTAGATTTGATGGGGGCTGAAAATGCAGGGAGGGGGGAGGGGAAAAGAAGAAAAAACATATACAGTTTACAATTGTTGCTTTAAAAATACCAGAACAACACATTTAGGGTCATATCCCAATCTCTGTTGCAGCCAGATAACTTCCATTGATTTTAGTGGAGTCATCCAGGATTTGCGCTGATGTGACTGAGATAGGCATCTGGCCTTCTAGATGCCAGGCCAATATATATACATAGATGTATTTTAAAGTAACAGTAACTTTAAAATAACCTCCCTTTGGGCTCATAAGCTTTTAGAGCTTTCCTTTATCTTAGAAAAACAGGCAGGGGAAGAGAGGGAGAGAAAGGGAGAGAGGGGGCTTTAAGTTGCATCTCTGTCATAGAAGCTGCTTGTAATATAGACCAGTTCTTTATGCATCGGGGAATACTAAAAGCCAACACAAGTGTTTAGTTTTGGCCATAAAGAATCTGAAAAGAGAGAGAGAGATCAGGACGGCAGCTAAACTTTCAACTATTTACAAAATAAAATTACAAACCGGCATTCCAGCTTTAACAGGAATGACACATTTATTGCTTTCTCTGTAGCAATGAGAGCACTATTTATTGTCTCTTAAGGACTATGTGGCAGGTTAACAATGCCTTCAGTTTTACACTAGCAAAAAAGAAAGAAGCTCGCTAATGAACTGGCCTGCCCAGCTTGTTTAGGGGTATAATGATTTCTTAGTGATACAGTACTGTATGAGTAAGTCTCCAGCTAGCTTGTTATATTAACATGAGGTATTTGTTAAACTTTTTTTTCCTGAGATTTTTTTTCTGAGGCTGGGGGCAATAGAGACAGGATTAAAACTGTTTAAAAGCTAAATCTAGCTAACTAATTCTAACTTCATTATACTGTTTTAAAATTCTCCCTGCACAGAAGAGATGCCGGATTTACAATACCAATCCAAAGAACAGAAGAGGTATCGAGGATATTCACAACAGCGGTATTTCAGCTTCCCTGCGTTACTGCTGGTACTGCTGGTACTACTGTGTTCTGCAGTCCCACACCTACCTTGCAGATGATTTGTCTGAGACTGCAGATGGGGCTTCCTTCTGGAGGTGCATTTCTCTTTGCTGCTGTTCCTGTTCTCTGCTGGTTTGGTCTGAGGAGGGTCATCATTCGTAGTCAGATATTTGAGAAGTTCAGAGCAGGGACGTCTTTGAGGCTTTTGCTGTTGACAAATGCTCTTTGCTTTATTGCTCCATGAATTCTCAGTCTTAAAAACGGGGCATAATAAAATAAAATAAAATAAAAAAAGCTAAAATTAGTGAGCTGAACCTTATCAGAATGGATATAGGTTTTCTGAAGAGATGAGATTTTCAATGAAGTATTCAGTCTAAGTGTACTAGATCTATGAGCTGTGAATAATTGTTTGCAGAACAAGGAAAGAAAATTACATTTAAAATTCCTAAATGACATTTATGCAGCTTTTTATTTCATTTCTCCTACATTTCAATGTTCCTACTCAGCAACATGTAACTAACAAGACCCTACAGCGCCTTTACTGTGAGCAAAAAAATAAGCTGGTTTAAACCTTAATTTGCTGCTGATTGCTTGAGCCCAGTATTCACAACTCTCTTAAGTACCCCTAAACGCTCTGTTTTCAGTTACAGTGAACGGCAAGACAAACATTGTTTAATACTGCCTGCTAACAGAATTATATCAGAGCCCCCATTCTATCCAATTAATGGCTGATATACATCTTTTGCCAAGAATCCAGTGTCATTTTTCTTAGCTCAGACAGCTGGTAAAATGGCAGTCCCACATCCTGGAGTCACTCATAAACAACACCAGCCCATCAGCAAATTTTATCGTACCCCCTACTACTCTGTGTATCAATAAAGTAGGCAAGAGTAACAGACGGTGGGACTACAACTGAACTCTGCCAAGAGAAAAAGCATAAATTAAATATTCAGAGCATAAAGGAGCTCAGGTGATTTTCTGGAACTCAGTCTATAATCTGTTGACTTTTTTTTTTAAAAGCAGTTGCAAGACAGTAGGCAGATTAACACAATACATATAGATCTACTGCTTGCTTGGTTGCTGAAAGCATAAAAGACCTTGTTGCACTTTTTCTTTCTTTTTTTTCTCTTTTTTCCTTATTACAAAGATTAAGTTTGTACCTTAACAACCACAGGGCTTGTTCTGATCCTGTGATTAGTGTTTGCATGGTTTTGTGTGCTGAGACCACTGCATTCATTGTAATTTAGCTGAGTGTTGGCTGGAGCCAGCAAGAGCTTCTTAAGCTACAAACACATCAGGGAAAGGGAGGTGGAAGGAAAAGAGTAAGTTATGCATCTTTATGGATTGAAATGACTTATCTACATTTTTGCATAGTTACTTAAAGTTAGCTATATCAATTTCAGCAAGCAAAGTACAATAAAACAGAAAGAAAGGCTTGATATTCCCCAGAGCAAACAGATTTCATTTTCTTCTGGCTTGGCAGCGTATTTCTGCTCCCTTTACTGCAGTACACTGAGGGGCAAGCAGAAATGACAGGGGTCTTGGATTTCTGAATCCATGGCAAAATGAAATTCTCGGCAATCTGTTTGACAGAAGAGGCCTCTGATCTAAACAGAGACGTTAACTTTAACAGACTAATGGATACAGCGTCAAGATGCAGGTATCTGGTTCTGCTTCTGCAGAAGCCAGTGATAAGGGGCTTTAAGCAGAAACAGAATAACGTCTGAAACTGGTTTTACTGAGCAAAATGCATATAAGGTTTCACCCACATCCTCACCCAAGGTTCAGTTTTGCCCTGATTAGCACTAAGCTGGTGAAATCAATGTTAAAGGCACAAAATTAGCCCTATGTCCCACCAGACTCAATGGGCCTTTCTTTACAGATCACCAAAAGTGATGTCTAAACATACATACAAAAAGAGCCCCGAGAAATGAAATATTAATTAAAAACGACTACCCTGACTTATTTGAACAGAATGATAAGCAAAAGTGTCAGCCATTAGCACAAGAATCTCAAAAACAGTATCTTTAACACACTTTTTAATAGACTGCCGTATTAGTCATCCTATGGCTATTTGGTGGGGTTTCTTCCCTGCTTAATTTTCAGTTCTTTACTTGATTTTCTTTTCCAGTCTAAATGAAAAGTCCAGACCTTACTGTGACTACATCATACCCATGCAGCGGGTAGCCAGAGGCACATCCAATTCCTGTTAAACAGTAGGAAGGGTTCTTACTAGAGACGGCTCTTCTGCCTCCTGAGTTGGAGGGGTGCCGTCGGGCATTGGGGAAGGGCTAGTGGCATTTTCGTTGGTCACATCTCCATCTGTCAGTGCATCAAATGAAGGCAATCCATCCTCATCCACGGGGATGCTGTCCAGTGTTTCAGTGAGAACGGCTAGCAAGTTTGCCTCGCTCTCTTCATCTATCTTCTGTGGGAGGGGACAAAAAAAAAACAGAACTGGGTGAGAAGAGAAAAGGAACAAAACGATGCCTCTGTATGTGAAAAAGCAGTCAAAACACAGTTAAACCAGCCCTTGAAACAATAACCTGCAACAGCACCTTGGAAGATGTAATTAAGTGCAATAAAATTATCCATCTCTGCGTCCAAGAGAAATCTCTTTGCATTCGCATTGTATTGCTCTAGTTTACTTTTCTTCCACAATTCTTTTTTTTTTATCCATGTTAACAATGAGAAGTAATCACCCAGGGATTGTATTACAGGATGTGCCTAAGCTGCTGACACTTGATGATGGTGTCAGCCCAGGCTGGCTCTTTCTTTTTCTTTTCAACGCTGAACATCAGCTAATTGACCTGACAAAATTACAAGAATCAGAGAAGACAACAGCTAATCAGAAGACCAAAATGAATCACCAGTGAAATTTGGAAAAGCTTGTTCACATACGCGGCCTGGTGTAAGAAAGAAAGGTTTTCCCCTCCGTACTTCTGGAAATCCTTGCTCCAAACCCAAGCAAAAATCTTCTCATTCCTGAGCATTTTGGCATAAGACTAGCCATCAGGACTCATATTGTAAATGGCAGGCTCTTTGGGTTTCTTTTAAAGAAATGTATTAAGCAGGCTGCCTTTGAAGTTGTCCTTTTGAGTTACGTCATCTAAGTGCTCAGTGCGACTATTGTATGCATTTATCTAATTCAGACTGCAATTATAAAAAGTAGATTAATTCCTAATCAGATGTGGCTGTAATGTTAATTTATATTAGGTATCTTATTTCAGCAACAAGACTTCTTTTTGTCAAATTGAGTACATTTAAATGCCTTCTGATTTTTTAATGAAATACAGTCTCTACTGTATATTAAGGTACAGATTTTTGGAGTACTCAGAGCTCTGAAGAATAGAATTGTGTAAAAATCATTATATTTATTTTTCAGAGAGATTGGAAATTGATCTTGACAGATCAATTATCTAGGATTCCTAGGCTGATCCTAGTGCTATTGAAATAAATCAAAAGCCTTTCACTGATTCCAGGGATATCAAATTGGGAGTTTTTCCACCAGCTTCAGAGTGGTTCATCACGCTCCAGGGTTCACACTTTGAAGAGATTTCAGCTGAGTTCAAATCTCATAGTTTAAAAGTGAACTAGCAAGGAATACACCAGTAAGACAAACAAAAGCTCTCCCTTTGAAAAAAATTAGAAAGTTAAAACAGTCAACAACAAAACATTGCCAGTAGCACCGCAGAACAGAAAAAAAAATCAAGTAAATCTGGGTATCCCTTAGCATGACTTTTTTCAGTGATACTGTATCTACCAGACTCCGAACAGAGATGCTCATAAACCACACAGATAATTGCTCCTGCCAGGCTTCCCTGCCAAATCACACCTCACAGCTTCTTACAGAAAAGCTCTGTCTTCGAGCTAGAAAGCTATGGCAGAGCACAGACTGTTCTGGTGCTTACAGCACCATCCCCAAGAAACAAATAAACACTCAGGCAAAGCTAATGCTAAGGAGAAGCATTTACTTAGAAGGCCAAAAGGGGCTTGGCCACTGAGAAAAAGAGTCTAAGTCCTGGTATCTGGTGATTTCCACCATACCAAGCAGACACACGCACAGTGCCGTGATAATTCAGTGTGCAGAGGATGGAAATAAGCAGAGGGAAGCCACCTTGCGCATAAAACGGCGCTCCAAATGCAGCTTTTCACAGCCACTTTTTGAGAGGCAAAGAGGAAAATTACCGTGCCTCTTCTAGAAAAGTTCGAAAAGGTGTTATCAGGCGACAAAGTACTTTGCGATGTAATGAAGCGCTGACTTTTTTTCCAACGGCATTTCAAACCCCTTGCAGGCGGTGGGATGAATGGTGGCGAGAGCCAGCCCTCCGCCCCAGGGTGGCCGCGGGGGGTCTGGCTGCCTGCCCCAAAGCCCCGCACCAGGAACTTCGCCAGCACATCTAGCTGGTGGGGCGCACCATCGCCCCCCCTTACTGAGCCTTGCAGCTTATAAAGCTGGCAACAAAGCTGGAAGTGTTACTATTTCTAACGGGGAATGCCTTCTTTAATAATAGCATGCCAGAAGAAACCCTGCTATTTGCTGTTAGCTGCTCAGCTCTCGTGCTTTAAACAGACATTCAAGTGCGCTGACATTCAAGAACAGAAAGTTGAGTGGACACCGGTCCTCATCACAGCAATTTCAATTAGTTTTGTACAAGTTTCAACATTCAAACACCCCAGAGAAAGCACAGGATGTGACAAAGAGGACTCTGTTAAACAATTAATGTCGCTTTCCATTATTGCTTCAGTCCCAATTTACAGAGCAAATAAATCAAAGTCACCACAGATGAAGCACACTAGCTGGCTAACACATGTCTATTCACAAACGACATGGTACCAGGAACACATTAGTCAAGAAAATGACATTGCAAGATAACCTTTTAAAGGTTTAACTATGCTATTGCTCCTAATTGTCCTAAATTACTGTTTATAAAGAAACACAATTATTAGATACAGCAGAAATGGTGCTGAGGGGAGATGCGGAGGGAGAGATGGTCAGGTGCATCAATGTCTGAGCAATAATCACTGAAGCAGCAGCTTTCTGCTTTGCTATCGCAACCTGAGTCTTAGTGTTGACAGCACTGGGGAGAAGCAACGCCATGGCCAAATGCAGGCTCCTTCATGGTTTCAGCACTGTCATCAGAGAAGTTCATGTTTCAGACTGGCATCCAACCTGCACATCACACAGGCTCGGTGAATCAGGAGGAGCTGAGCACCTTCGACCTCCGCCGAGGTCAGAAGAAGTGCCGCGTGCTCTCAGGAACTCTCTGCCGTGTCCCTAACTTCCAAGCAGGATCATACTGAAAGGGTTTGCTTCTGTCTAAAGGAGGAGATCCAAAGTATTTAGACCACCTAAATGAACTACAGTGCATAAGAAAAAGGGGTAGAGGATAATCTCGAATGTAAATCCACACGGCAAATACACGCAATTATTAAACACTTATGAAAACAATTCATAGTGACTGCATCTTGCTAACTAATGGGTCTTTTTAACGCAGAAGCAGTTATGCATCACTTCCCAGCCACACCGCATGAACTTCTTAGCGTCCTTGGTTGTTAGTTTAACATAAAGGCATCGGGGCCAGAAGTTTTTTGACCCCTGTAAATTTTCACCCAGCTGAAGCAGGCAAGGAACCAGTATGTCACTGAACGCATACGCTTCCACGTTTCTGACAGCAAAAGTTTCTGGCGTATCCAGAATGGCATTAGCTCTGAAAAGAAGTAAGATTTGGCATTGGTGCCACTGTGCATGGGCGAACGCAATGCTGTAAACTGCCAGAACACCTCAAAAATGAGTGATCTAGGAGCCTAAAACCATGAGAAGTGTCTAACTGTGCTCTTCTCTGCTTTTACATGTTTTGTTCTAATGCTTTAATATTTCTACAGCACTAAAAATAATTCTCTGTCTGAAAACACTTTATTAGTTGTGTAACAATCTTATTCTAATTGGTTTCTGCCTTCAGTAAAATGTCTCCAGAGACATTCTCTCTTTGGTCAGTGAAAAGCTATAAGAAATGAGTTGATAATTTACCCACACAAAGGTATTTAAATCCTCTACCCCTGATAATTCTTTCTCCTTTGCTTATTCTGCCTATTGATGGAGCCAGGTTCACCTCGCGGGTAGCATTTTATGTCTATAATACATGTTACTTGTCAGCAATTGCAGATGCCTACAACTGAGCTGTAATGGAGACTCGGCCACCTTGTCTTTCCCATGTACCAATCCCTTCTTGAAAACCTTGAAGCCAGTGTGCCGAGGTCCAGATACAGGACTCCACTGTAGCTCTCCTGCAGTCAGCTTGGGTATGCTGATTCACTCCAGAAAAGGGTCAAGCCCATCATTTAGAAAATCTCTTCCAAATGTTAATAGTATCTTCCAACATTTTCCCTCTGGTTGATTCCCTCCGCCTTTCATTTCTGATTATTACATGCACAGCGTTTGCTTACTGTATCTCAAGGAGTGAGATCAGCTAATGAATGATAATGATGCTCTAAAGTTTCTTTACTGGTAATTTGAACAGTGCAGGGGCCCATCTTGATTCATACTGAAAGATCAGGGTCTAAACTGTGGTATTACTCCACAGCCCTGAGGAGCTGGGAGCAGTGGCAGCTTGCCACGTCTTCGTAAAAACCCCAGGAAACTTTGGGACAGATCCGCAGCTGGTGGAAGCTGTCACCGCTCCAGCAGCCCAGCTCGGTAAGCAATTCAGAGCAGCCAGGTGTACACCTGAACTCACAAGGGATCACCATTTCAACATATCGACTCATTTCTCCTCAGTAGCCTAAGATCTATTCATAGCATAATTAACAAAGAAAAGAAAAGATTTTCCTCCAGCTGAAAATATCCGAGTGATCTAAAAATGCTAATACATTATGGCACTACTTTCAAAAGCACAAAAATTACTTGTGAGCACATCTGGGACTTCCAACAGGATTTAATTCCTTAATGACACATTTTGGAATAAGAACGTCCTTAAGATTCACACCTAGGAGAAATGAGGGGTACAGATTCGCCCCTTTTTGCACGTAGGGATGCAGAGGCACCGAAAAGCTCACCAACACCACCCCAGCCCTGAGCACCTCCTGCCAACAAACATGCAGGAGTAGGGGCAGATGGTATCTCAGGCCTGGACCCACCAACCAAGCTTTGCTACCCGAGGATAAGGAGCCGCAGACTGGGCAGAAGCACAGGGAAGGTAGGAGGAGGGAAGGGACTAGGATGCAGGCTGGTCTTCCTGCTCCTGCCAGCAAAAAATGAGAGCTGCGGCTAGGGATGGTGAAAGAGAAGAATTACAGCCCAAGTCTTCCCTCTTCTGGAGCAGAAGGAGCCAGCCTGCCACGCCACTGGCACAGACAGTGCTGTCACGGTGATCTTGCTGCCTTCTCAATGTGCTGTCCAAGGCAAGTGCCTCCTTCTCCTCGACTTAGAACTGGCCATACCTGGCAGTATTTTCTCC